TTTTAAATTCAATAAGTGAAGAAGGTGTGTTTTCATTCCTGTCCTGTGTGTAATATCATTCCTGCAGAAAGGGACCTTCATTCATCAACCTTCTGGGGTGTTTTTTTTTTTAATTAGCTCATTCAATCCCTGTACACATTCTCCGTGTTACTGGATGATTTCAGAGTCATTATAACGGAGACGAATGTCCTAAAATTCGCCCACCCCTGCCTTTTCCTGGCTTCTGACATGGTTATGAAGTTACCCTCAAAGCACAGATAGGACCAGAAGATGTGAAGGGCTTGTTAATCAAAGCTGGAGGGGCCCCCAAACCAGGTGCACTTTGGTACGAATCTTCCTGAAACGAGTTTCCATCTTATCCCGAGGCTTGTTTTTCCGAGGTGCCCCGACTTCCTTGCAAAGAAATGTGTGTTAGGTTTTTGGGGATTGGATACTTGGCTCAGGTTTGGATGCAAGATAGACAAAGCTCTTAAAGTATATAAATTATGACTCTCATAAGTATTCTCATAGCTGAGAATCAAATCAAAACTGCTGCTGTTTTTACATAGTAAAACTGTTTTCATATTTCTTGTACCATTTCTATTTTGATGTATTTGTTTAATTCACATGTCACAATGTTCACACTGTTCAGGTTTGATGCTTTTCTTATTAAAATAAAGTCCTGTATGACTGTGGCCTGTAGTATAGCGCACTTTAAAGGTTACGTAAATAAATGTATATACCAGCCTTTTTTTGGTTCAAATTAACTGCAAGTTCATCCCAGACCAATTTCATTTTATATTAACATTATTTGTTGCAGAAAAGGTTTTGAAAAAGCCAAGTGTGTCGCTATGAGTCTTAAGACTGTGTTTGTGTTGTTCACAATTCCACCAGGCCGAGCAATTTGTGCACCTACAATGCCATATATGACATCATGTTATTTTTGTTTCACAATACTAACATTTAATTTTTATCCCCAAAACATCAGTTTTCTGTGGCATATTACGACACTAGCACTTTACCTAGGAACCACCTAGCAGCAGGTTAAAATTAGCTGCTTTTTTTTCTTTACACACTTAAAAACACCCTGTTGTTTTATCAGTAACCTCTGATTTGCCCCCAAAAAAGAAAAATTGAGTAAGTAAGTCATGATTGATGTAGACAAATAATTTCCATAAGTTCTCGATGGGCAATTAAAATGTGTGAATACAAAGTGACAAAACTGCTTTTTTTGGTCATTAGTAACACAAAACCCACTGGTCTACAATGCTTTGTATACCACAGTGGGGAACATTATGCATATATTACTAACTGTGTTAATAACTGTGACTGTCATCTAACTGTTACTTTAGAAAGGGCAGTGGCATTAGCATAGGTGCACTTTCTTGGTAAATACATTGGACACTTAATCATTTAAAATAAAACAAGCTGTTGTCCAGTTTTTTGTTTATTCTAGGCAGAAATTTCTGTCTTATATTGAAAAAAATCTACTAAAACTACTAAATTAAAACAAATCATGTTACTGTCTAACATGCTTCTCATTAAAGTAAGACACTTTAACGGTTTTACTGGATATTTATGTTTTAGCACATTTCATATATTAATTTAAATATTTGTATTTTGACTTTTAACTATTAGTTCTTTAATTCATTCAGTGTGTGAATAAACATGTATAGTATATCACACTTGTTTTGTTCCTTTCACATCCTTATAAAGTCCCTACTTTTATGCAAATCAGAGATGGATAAGCGGAAAATGTAAAAACTTCCTGATTTGAGATGAAATGACCCATGTGTATACATTTATATGGATCATTTTAACCGCATTTTGAAATAATAATAAGAGTTGTAAAGTGCTGAATCAGAATATACAGGTAACCTAACGAGTGAAAGGTGTTTTAAGCTAGGGAAAAATCATTGGTAATGGAAATTCAGCTCAGGTGAACCTCTCAGTTTGTCTCTGTTCATGTGAGTCCTGCAGCTCATTTTTACATGAAGGCTCTGGCAGGTACACAAACTGTACAAACAAGCTTCTGGTTGTGAAACTTTGGGTTAATTAACAATATGTCATTTGGTCAATCACCTTCTGATTTTCTGCTTATTTAACAATTATACTGATTACTAAAAAAGAAGCAATAAATCTGTAGCCTGTGTCATAGATACTCTCCAAAGATTTATGGATACTCATCAGTCTACTCCACGTCTCTGACTCAGGGATCAAACAAGGACCAGCCACTTTTCAGTCAAAGAACAATCCTGTTATTCTCAACAAAGACACAAACCAGTCGCTTTGATGATCATGAACCACATCCTTGTGTAATGAGTTTCCAAGATTTTTTTCAGGAATTTTGAAAAGGGATTCATCAGTGTTATTTCCAAGAATTAATTCCAAATAAAGACGAAATACATTTGATCTTTTAAAGGTGCAAGTAGCAAATAGCAGAACTGTAACTTGTAACTGGAATAAGTTCACTTAATATATGTTAGTGTTTTAAGAACACACATTTCAATCAGTGTAATCTATATTATAACAGCCCAAATCTGTTGCTTTTGTTTGTCTGTCATACGTCAACAGTTGAGAGAATGAAAGCTGCAGAACCAGCTTACAATCAGAGAAGGATGCCAACTATACTTTTATATATTTATATTTTAACATATTGTAATGAACTGTTGTTTTGGCAGCTACAACTGATTTAAATACAAAACAAAACTTTCCATTAAGTTTCATTTGTGCATGTGTTGCGTTTAAATGCTTCTGTACTCACTCGTTATTCATTCAGTTAACATGACTTTTGTACCTTTGTAACATTTATTTATTCAAATAAAACAACAGTTTTGTTTTCTACACCGTGCTTGCTTTCTGCTTTTCTTGCAGCTTGTTTCCGATACATATTATTAAAATGTTCCATTCAAGTTCAGTGCACGCTATTTAAAAACAATGTCGCTAATGTTATTCAGTCATATTCAATATCAAACCTTTAAACAAATTGAGATGTAAAATAGTACTCTTATACTCCTACTTGAGGGGTGCAGCAGGATGATATCCTTCATGGTGAAGTCCCGTGACTGCGCAGTTTTCACCCAGTCAGTGATGGTGGTCAGCAGCAGGACCCAGGCCACTGTTGGCCAGGCCTCCATTATTGGACCAG